TATACAGCTAATAAGGCAGTTCAGGATCTTCGCAATGAGAAGAGAAGGCGATATGGAAGATTCTTTTCTGTCACAGAGTTGCAACTTCAGAGAAACCAGTGGAAAGTAGAGAGAGCCCCCCTGGCAACTGACATATATTGGAACCATCTGGGATCTACAAAGTTCTCGCTGAAATTGCGCAGGGTGTTTGTAAATACATGCCTGCTGTTGATGCTTTTGTTTTGCAGTTCCCCCCTTGCCGTCATTAGTGCCATTGAGAGTGCATGGAGAATAATTAATGCAGAGGCAATGGATAATGCACAGATGTGGCTTGCTTGGGTGCAGAGCTCAAGCTGGTTTGCTGCCATAGTCTTTCAGTTTCTGCCTAATGTTCTTATTTTTGTTAGCATGTACATCATCATCCCATCAGTTCTATCTCATCTTTCTAAATTTGAACGACATCTTACTGTGTCTGGAGAGCAAAGAGCGGCATTATTGAAAATGGTTTGCTTCTTTCTTGTAAATCTTATTCTCCTTAGAGCTCTCGTGGAGTCCTCACTTGAGAGTGCACTTATAAAGATGGGCCAATGTTATTTGGATGGGCAAGATTGCAAAAGGATTGAGGAGTATATGAGTTCTTCTTTTTTGACCAAGACGTGCCTCTCATCTCTCGCATTCTTAATCACGAGCACTTTTTTGGGTATATCTTTCGATTTGCTGGCGCCAATACCCTGGATCAAGAAGCAGCTTCAGAAGTTTAGGAAAAATGACATGGTTCAGCTAGTACCAGAACGCAGCGAGGATTATCCATTAGAAAATCAAGATGTAGATACTCTGAGCAGGCCCTTAATTTCTGAAAGGACATCATATGTGGTGGGTGGTGAGATTGGGAATGGGATTCTCCGTGATTCCTCTCAACATGAAATCGATTTCCCTGCACAAAATCTGTCTGAATATCCTCCAGTCAGCAGAACCTCCCCTGTGCCCAAACAGACATTTGATTTTGCGCAATATTATGCTTTTAATCTGACGATATTTGCCCTCACCCTGCTCTACTCTGCATTTTCCCCGCTTGTGGTTCCAGTGGGTGCAGTTTACTTCGGATACAGATACGTTGTTGACAAGTACAACTTCCTCTTCGTCTACAGAGTCCGAGGATTCCCTGCTGGTAACGATGGGAGCTTGATGGATAGAGTATTGTGTATCATGCGCTTCTGCGTCGTCTTATTCCTCCTATCAATGCTGCTGTTCTTCTCAGTTCGCGGAGACTCCACAAAGCTTCAAGCCATTTTCACACTATTGTTGCTAGTAGCTTACAAACTGTTGCCCAGCGATAACGACGGTTTTGAGCCAGCTTTATTGCAAGGCATACAGACTGTTGACAACATTGTTGATGGACCCATTGATTATGAGGTGTTCTCACAACCTGCATTTGAATGGGATTCTTATGCTCAATGATATATGTGCTTTTTAGTTTCTTCTTGTCAGTTTGTATATATGATCTCTTCTTTTATAGCACATTTGCTTCCTCATCTGCTTTTCCCCTTTTCGTTTTATTTTTTCTTAGGGATAAAGTGTGCATATGTTAGAGTATACGAACCACATGATTATTTGTATTAATCTAGAACCAAATTGATGGGTTAATCTAACAACTACTCTGATTATTAGTTAAGAGTGTGTAGCAAACAACCTAGATTACCTTATACTAATTCAAATTAAGAAAATCACTATACCAACTTAGATTGCTAACAGTTGAGACACGAAGATAACTGGTGGTGGTTCTTATCTCCGTCAAATTGGAAACGATGGCGGGGAGAGGGGTGAGGTCTTTATTTATTTAAAATTACTCAAATAATTTATTTTTTTAAAAAAATTACTCAAATAATTTATTTAAAAAAAAAAATTTAATTCGGTAACCACCATATCAGTCATATGGGTAAAACATTTTCGTGTGTAGTGCGATGCATATTTGACTCTACTTTAAAAAAAAAAAAAAAATCTTATAAAATTACCCTTCTACTATTACAATCTAAGGCAACATACGAACCAGCAACTATTTTAATAAGCAACACTCACAAAAGCAATTTGGAGGACTAAAACTATAAAAGCATACTTCCTCTTAATAAATCACATAATAATGTGATAGTAGTGAAAAACGATACTAATATTTACTCTCTAATTATACTCCAAAATATGTGCCAATTCATAAATAATAAAAAAACATAGCAATTTTAAATATATTATATTCTACTAATAAACAAATATATGCTTATACACTGAACACTAAGGATGACAATGGGGCAGGGCAGGGCCCGTCTCCGACGGGAAATTGGAAATATTTTCCGTCCTCACGGGAAATTGGAAATATTTCCCGTCCCCACGGGAAATTAGGCGGGGATAAAAATTCCCCATTCCCGTCAACTTCTAGACAAAATGTTAAATAATTTTTAATTTTAATAATAAAAATTTTAAAATTTAAGTCATAATTTCAAAAATTAAAATAATATATATATATATATATATATATATATATATATATATATATTCGGAGACGGGGAGGGGTGTCCCCGTCCCCGTCCCCAACGGGGAATCACAAATGTTCCCCATCCCCGTTTCTTTCGGGGCGGGGCTCTGCCGGGATCCCCGTCGGGGACGGGACACATTGTCATCTCTACTGAACACCTAATGTGATCTGTGGTTAGACCTAGATTATGTTACTATTAATATATAGAGTTCTAATATGACTATAAAGCTATTAAGGGTAACACTTATGAGAGACGGTTTTAATCGGTAAGACTGGTAGGATTTTTAAACTCATTAATTAAAGATCCAAGTCAAATATTTTTGCCAACTATTAAAGATAATAAAGAGGTATTGTCATAATATAATACATCTATTAATATTTAATATTCACAACACTTTAAAAAAAAAAAAAATACATAAACAGTAGAGTTTCAAGATATGTTCAAAGAAAAGTAATATGGCGGGAGTACAAGGAATTCTGTACATGAGGGTGCCGTATCCGGATGAATCCGGCGAAGACTGGTACGCCATTCCCGCATCGAATGAAGTCCAAAGGGACGGCGACGGTTTTCTGATTCCGGCATTCCACATTTCCCCGCGTCCGTACAGTGCGGCCGTGGCGGTCGATACTTGCATCTTTCTCATCGGCGGCCTGGACGGCGGCTTGCCGCCGGCAGGCCAGAGAGCCCGCCGACGAAGTCTACGGGAAGTGAGCGTTATAGACACCCGGGATCCCCAACGCCGCCTGCTTCCCGCCCCACCTCTCCGCCTCCCCCTAACGGCGATGAATGGTTTCTGTTTCTGTGGCCACGGTGACGACGTGATCTACGCGCTCCCAAGAACGTGCAGTTCGAACCGCCGGCCGGAATTTCTCCACTGCCGCCGCCTTCCTCGCCTGCCGGAAAATTACTGGAGTCGCTTTCCCCGCGGCGGCGTTGCGACGGTTATGGACGACGGCGCCGCCACGGTGCCGGCAGTTGAGTACAGGAATACGCCCACCGCACACGGCGGAGTAGCGAGCCTACCGCACAATCTGTTCTTCACCAGCTCCAACTTTCCCGGCATCCTACACTATAACCTTACCACTAACACCGCCAATCCGCCATTACCGATCCACCATCAAGAACCTCCGGTACCCACTCCTAGTCTCAGCAGGGGAGTTTGCAGGCGCGGGGTTATCTACTTCTACGTGGGTTTTAACGCCAACCTGCCGGCCGTCTCGGCTTACTCTATAACCCTGCGGAAATGGTACCCGAATCCAGGCGTTCTTGGGTTCGAAACATTAAACCCTAATGTCATGCTACCACCATATCCAAACATCAATGATCGTCTCAATCCTCTGGTTAATTTGGGGAGAGGAGTTCTGTGTTTCATGTGGATCTGCAGTACAGACCCATTCCGTGTTGGAATGATGAAGCTCAAAATAAAGCTGCGACTCAATACAAATAATACCGCAGAAGAAGAAGAAGAATGGGGAGATTATTTCCCCTACGCTCGTGTCAAGTCCATCACCTACTTCAAGCTTCCATCTCCGGCGACTTCTTTATTCGATTATTTGCTAGTGTATGTTCCCATAATCCCATCCCTTCCCTGCCATGCATAATACGTATATATATATATATATCTGATCTGAATATAGTGTATATATATGCAGTAGTGGTTCGGGAGAGATGAAGTTGCTTAATGGAGTGGATGATATTGGGAGTAAGAAGAAGAAGAAGCAGGAGATGAATGAGAGGAGGAAGGTGCAGCATTGTATACCATTCCAGAAGCTGTACTGTGGAGGAAGCAAGCTTAAGCAGGGATGAAGGATGAACTGTACTGTATATATAGCAATACATATATTGAATTGTATACCATTACAGCAATGATATAATAAGACAATATACTTATATCTTAAACCCAACAGGGTAGCTCAAGTGGCAAGTGAGCTCTCTTTGTGGGGCCAGTTTCTGTGCCACTCGAAGGGAACCGGACTTAATATACTTACGTCTTATAAAGAGTAAATAACAATTTATACATTTTTATAAATAGCCAATAGATCAAAATAATTAACACAATTAATTATTAACCATTCTAAATTAATCAGTTATTGTTGTAATTCGGCCTATCAACTTGTTAGTTCTCGTGTGATAGTTGTACGGTAACACATCGATTGTATGTACGAAGAATATTGCAATATGTAATGGAAGCGTAGAGAGAAAAATATAATACAAGAATGTAGAACTCAAGAACACAAGTTCTCTTTTTCATTATGCCTTGAACATGTATATATATACATCCATATAACCCTTCATTTTCTATAACATAAATAATGGAATAAATATAAGGCAAATGAAAGGTCTTGTGATAATGGCCATAATAATAATAATATTTATAACAGTTATCATCTAATTGTCAAACACCCCAAATAAAATTACTTTTCCATCTTTTGATTAGCAATTAAATTTTTTTCTCAAAATTAAAAAAATTAAATAAAAGTAGATAATGTGAGAAACTGTTTCCAAACACCATGTAAATTGGGGACTGAATTGACTATTCAATTGTAAGCAGTAGAGAGTGGGATTTGTCCAACAGTATCGCCAAACGCTAAACCCTATTCAGTCCCTTCAAGGCCTGTTCGTACTTCGTAGATTATAGATTTATATTTTGTTTCAATTTGTAAATTTGTTAATCTTTCATTTGTTGTTCTATGTCCAATTACAAATAAATCTCGTGAAAGCTTGTTGTTTTGAAAAAAAAATGACGAAAAATTGGCAGTGGGCAGTGGATTACTTATCTGTGACTCAATCTTTGGCGATAAAACATGGTATGAATTCATGCAAGTATCCATATCTTCTTGCTGTTATTGCTTCAGTGGGTTGCGTGAATTCTCTTGTTCTGAAAGTTCTGTCGTGATTACAAAGAATTTGCAAGATTAAGGGGAAATTAGGGCCTAATATTTACAGAGGTGTTATGTCATAGTGACTGCATACTACCTGTATGACAAATTGTCCAGGTCAGTTTCTGGTCTGGATGGCATTGAAAATGAGCTTCCTTTTATTCCTTCAAGCTTTGGGTCACTGGGGTTTTGATGAAACCTCCCTCCAAGTCCACTTAGTTACCAAATTCACAGTTTTGTTCAAGTGGAAACAAGGGCAATGCTTTCCTTTTGCTCACCACAAATCCACCTAGGCTTTACAAATTCTCTGTTCTGCATTCTGTCTTAAAGAAACTGAATGTGCTATTGTGCTGTGAACATTTTATATTGCTTGTTTAAGGTTTAAAAAATAGTGCCTTGTTCAATTTTCTTTTGCTGTTTGCTTATTCGGATAATTTTCTTTTACATGTTTGTTGTGCATCTCTACCACCAGTAATATGGCACTATCATTTCAGAGAAACATGAAGAAGGGGATGGCATAAAGGACAGATAGTTTAATTGATTGGCCTTTCAGGGATTCTTTTTTGCTATGCACAAATACTTATTGTTTCTTGTTTAAATGATGTTGTCTATCATCAACAATATTGTTATTTTGTTCTTTAGCACCATTTTCACAGAATGAAAAATTTCATACTGTCAAAGGATCTACCTCAAATAGCCATGTATTTTATGTTATATGACATGCCTTGTTACCCTGCATGATATCTTTAATCCTTATATATTCTACATATTTGCAGAGATGGAGTGTAGCATGGAAAATTATTGGATAGTCCCCCAAGATGATCTGGAGCTATGTATTAGCCGGCTTTGTCTTGCGCAACGACTGTTAGATTTTCGATGTCACTATGCACATTCCAATATTTGAGTGACCCCCAACAACTCCTGGTGGATCTGGGAGCATGAAGAATGTTGGGAGGAGGAAGAACTACTGCAAAATTTTGCTTGAAAATTGAATCTCATCTCAGTTGTAATCTTTGTATAATTGTATTTTGAGTGAGTGACGAGGGAAACCCACACCCACTACCCAAGGGTGTGCGTTGGGTAAACTCGCCTTGTGACCCTAACTTGCAAAGGATCGCAAGAAAGTAAACCAGCCTTGGGTAGTGCACGAGGTAATCTTTATATTTAATGGTCCCTGAACAAGATTTATATATGTTGTGGGCTGAATAAGTAGCTTTTGCCAAATATGATCCAGTTGCTTGGGCAATCTTCTTAATAGTCTCTCCCTTTTTGTTAAGCAATTTTTTAATTTTTATTTTTGGGTTTTGGTCAAAGATTAATTCAAGAATTTACTTTAGTTTGAACAACAATGAAATGTTTTGGTCAATGTCTACCCTAAAACAAATCTCAACCAAACAGTTGGCTTTTGCCCTTCACTTAAACAGATCTGTCTCTATAACTGATAACTACTCTCCTCTCTCTCCCCCTCTCCGAGATAAACTCTATCCATTTACCATCTCGAATGAGCTATAAATAAGTGAGAAAGAGTTGGTTAAATTACCAAATCCAAATATAATGCATCACTTACAAGTGAAAAGCAACCTTAATCTTGTTGGTACATATAATGAAACAATCATGCTTAACCATGGAGGTAGTAATGAGGTCCCTCTCTGCCCTAAACCGCGACGACTCGCCTCCACCGCTCTCCCTGAGTTCCTCAAGCCCCTCAGATGCACCAAACACAGGTACACATTTCCTTAGTTCCTAAACCTTCTTTAAGGTTGCCATTCTTTGTGTTTTTGATGTCAATGGTTCCATGTTGTGTGTAATGTGATCAGCCAAACGAGTTTTGATGGTGGAAGAAGTGAAATTCTCAACATAATCGGTGGTGACCACCAAAAGGTCAGTTTAGAAGACAAAACACATCGTTCAATTTGGCATCAACGAGCGTCTGATCTGACACAGTGTTTTTATAAAAAATTATGATGCAGGTAAGAGATGGACGGGATTCAACAATGTGCAGTGGGTGCTCGCCCTCGTGTTACTCAGGCTCTCCTCCCGGCCGGACAGATAACCCGTTGATCCATGACGTGCAATTTGCTCATCAAATGGAGCTTTTTTCGCCGTTAAATCGAACTAAGCTTTCTGATAAATTTGGGTTCACCTCTGCCTCCCCGGCCTGAGACCTGAGATCTGAGCTCTCGGCGTCAGAGATGGTGGAAAACCCACCACAATTTTTCCTTTCTCAGGCTTAGCACACTGTCCAAACCGTACGTGATAATGAGTTATTTTTTATGTAAATACTGCATGCATGCATGTGACAATTATATGGGATCCCTTTAATGTAACATGTAAATAATATCATTAATGTTGTTGTGATCGCTAAGCATAATAAAAAGGTCTTTTCTTTCGCCATTTTATCACACCCAAAATTCTCTCTTGTTCAAAAATTATGCATCTATCACTTCTTATCTTTACTCAATTAGAATTTTAAATCTTTTCTCTTTCAAATATTGCCTACTGCCTACTTGGTAAATGATTATTGGCTGATAGCTGTTAGCTGATTGGGTTAAATAGAAGTTATAACTAGTTGATAATATTAGCTGACTGTAGAAAAATGTCTGGTAAATTGGGTTAAATAGAAGTTATAACTAGTTGATAATATTAGCTGCTTGAAGAAAAATGTTTGGTAAATTAGCTGTTAGCTGATAATTGTTTGCTATAATTTCTTTATTCAAAAAGCTATTTGAAAAAACTGCTTTGAGCAATTATTTGTAAACTTTTTGAATTTTAACATTTTGAAATTACAAAAAGCTAATTAACTAAACACTTATATTAATTTTTTAACTAAGTTAAATAATTAATAATGGTCAAATAAATCAAAATTGACTAATAGGCTAATTATTTTAGCAAATCGGGCCATTATATAAGCTTCAAACAGAAGATTTAAAGGTAGAATCTTTAGAACTTTAACTCGGGCAAATGGTACTCGTTAACACTAATCATGGTAACGAAGACTTCAAGACGAAGTAATATACCTTACTCAACTACCTCAACTGCCAGAAACTTTACTGTTTTTTCACTTGCCGGGTTTCTCTCTCTAAATCTAATAATCACTCCCGCCGGCGTTAATTCAAGATCCCGGCAGGCTTCTGTAACAGATCTTGATAAGTAAAAAAAAAATGGTTTCTTTTCTCATTTTCTTGATCACGGGGTTGTTAGTTTCGTCGTCTCAGCTCATCGCCCATGCCCGCATCTTCACCTTCGAACTGCACCACCGGTTCTCCGATCCCGTCAAGAAATTGGCGGCGCAGAGAGCCGGCGGCGGCGTGTCTTTCCCGGTCGACAATTGGCCGGCCAAGGGCAGTCTTGATTATTATACCCAGCTGGCGACCCACGACCGGTTCTTACATGGCCGGAGACTGTCCAAGTCCGATGACGGCAAGCTCACTTTCGCAGATGGAAATTCCACTTTCCGGATCAGCTCTTTGGGATTGTAAGATCTCCAGTTCTTGAAAACTATATTAACCCATAATTTTGTTTTGTTCTGGGTAATTGTTAATGTGAGTTTGCTTTCACTTTTTTTTTTCATCTTGGAAATGTAGTTTGCATTACGCAACGGTGACTCTGGGGACGCCGGGGATGAAGTTTCTGGTGGCCCTGGATACTGGGAGTGATTTGTTTTGGGTTCCCTGTGATTGTGGCAACTGTACATCTACTGATGATTCCACTCTATACAATTCTGTATGTTAATGTTGCCTTATCCTTTCTATCTTTCAAGCTTTTTATTCATTCTTAGTCTTTTTTGCATGCGAGAAATCCCTCGCCCGAGACCCCCACACTCTCGCTAGATAGGATTCAGCGGCTAATTAGGTGGGAGGACCGCCCGTCACATTAGGTGTGACTCCCACACTGCGGGTGTCGGGGCTCGATCATGAGTTCTGCCCATAATCTGCCACCGAGGAACCAACTTAGCTACCCGTGCGGGTGTTCTTAGTATTTTTTTTTGTATTGAAGTGAATAGTTCTCTAAAAAGATGAGGAATTGAGATACTACCACTTCAAATCTTGAGTGTCAAGTGAATGGCAGACTAATTTTGAGCAGGAAGAAGATGTACCGTTTATGTGTTGTGGCTTTGATGCTGCAGGATTTTGCGCTTAGCATATACAACCTGAATGGATCATCGACGAGCAAGAAGGTCACCTGCAGCAACAGCTTTTGTTATCATCGTAATAACTGCCTTGGTACATTTAGCCATTGCCCTTACTCGGTTTCTTATCTCTCATCCGAGACCTCAACATCTGGAATACTGGTCGAGGATATCCTGCACTTGAAAACAGATGACGATGAAGACGACTTTGTTCAGGCATATGTTGTGTTCGGGTGAGTTTAGTATCTATCGTATATAGATTCAGCACTGGAGTTCAGATAGGAGTATCTGATAAAGGTGCAATTTTAAGTGTGCAGCTGTGGACAAGTACAAACTGGTTCTTTCCTGGATGTTGCAGCTCCTAATGGGTTATTCGGGCTTGGTTTCGAGAAAATATCGGTCCCTAGTATTCTGTCCCAGGAAGGATACATAGCAGATTCTTTCTCCATGTGCTTCGGGCACGATGGAGTAGGAAGAATTAACTTTGGAGATAAAGGAAGCCTAGACCAGGAAGAAACCCCGTTCAATTTGAATCCATTGCAGTAAGTGGTAATCAAATGAAAATAAGTAGTTTTCTTTGCTTCTTTCTTTCATCATTCTCTGAACCCTCTTTACTGGAACTGCAAAGCAGCCCGAGATACAATGTCAGCGTAGCACAGATTCGCGTTGGCACTAATATTATTGATTCTGAGTTTGCGGCACTTTTTGATACTGGAACTTCCTTCACATATCTAGAAGACCCATCGTACACAAAGCTTACAGAGAGTGTAAATATTCATATTCTTAATCTGTATATATAGCCAGGACTGAAGGTTTATCCTACTCTGCTTATTTTGCTTTTGTTGTCGTCTTCTTCCTTCAGTTCCACTCTCAAATACAGGATGCACGGTACGCTCTTGATCCAAGGATCCCCTTTGAGTATTGTTATGAAATGAGGTCAGACTAAGATACTATGAAGTCTATGATAGCTTTTCTTTTCTTGGTTTTTGCTTCTTTTGTCAGGGTCCTTATTGTCTTTATCTTCGTTTTGCACCCGATATTCACAGCCCTAATTCCAGTACTAGTTTGGTTCCTACTATGAGCCTAACCATGAAAGGCGGAGGTCATCTTGTCGTCTATGATCCAATAATTGTCATGTCCATGCAGGTATAATCTTCGTATATTTCACATACTCTCTCCCCCCGTAATAAATCCTATTGTAGGATTAGGACTAAATTCTATCCTGCCCGATAATTTTCAGAGCCAACTTGTATACTGCCTTGCTGTTCTGAAGAGCCAAGATTACAATATAATTGGGCGTAAGTTTCTTGTGTAAACGCAATATTTATTTCAAAATCTTGGCCCATCCTGATTACACAGCATAATCCCCCTTACAAAGCATAATTGTTAATGTTGTTACTGTCTTTTTTGCATTTTCCTAGAAAACTTTATGACAGGATACCGGTTTGTGTTTGATCGAGAAAAGGCTACTCTCGGGTGGAAGAAGTTCGACTGTGAGTTCTCTGACCTATCCAAATCCCCACAGTACAATTTCCAAAACATGGAATGAAATTTATGTCTCGGGTAGACCTAATTCCAAGAGTTTGCGGTTCTCACACAGGTTATGACATAGAGAAGGCGTCCATGTCCCTAAACAAAACCAGCGTGCAACCAGCTGTAGCTGTTGGCCAAGGAGGCAATGCCACCGCCACAGAACAAGATGGAAAGACCAATTTTGCTCAAAAATCATTTGCATTCTCAGTTTATCAAATGCCTATTTTTGGTCTGATCTACTCCTGCCTAGTATTTCTTGCCCTCCTTGTATAGACAGACTCAATATATCTATCTGTTGAACATAGTACTAATCACTAGCTTAGGTAGAATTTATTGTTTTCTGCAGTTTTTGCAGGCCATTTTGATCCTATAATGCTTTGTAGATATAATGTCAATATAAATGACAAAAAATATGTTCTTCCTCGGCTTGATTCTATGAGCATTGTTATGAAACGACAACAAACTCCTGTTTTTTTTTACCAAACCAATACTATATGCAAGAAATAAAGATAAAGCTGTTGACTTACAATCTAAGAGTAGTTTTCGGTTGAGTACGCTCCATTACTGATTGATTTAACTTGTTGGGATCGTTCTGCAATTCTCTCGTGTAGTGTCCAACGTGATCTCAACTAATTGGATATCGCCACTCAATCCGGATGCCTTGTGTGCTGGCATGAACGAGAACCCGTCGAGAAGCTTCACACACTTCAACCCCCACTTCACCATCAAGAACTCAATCAAGTGATGCCCACTGTGCATTGTTTAAACAGAAAACACAAGGCATTACCTGATAAGAAATGGGAACCAATAGTAGATCCAAAAAAGGGGGGTAATTGCAATTTGCAAAGGAAAGACAAGTACCTTCTATTGTGATATGAAGTTACAAAACTGGATGCGTGAGAATTCTCGAGCAAAAATGTCACAGTAGCAAAGAGATCATCGAAAGCTTGACAAACCATACAATATAACAATTCAGCTTCAGTTGACAGATGAAAGAAAGTAGAAAAATGTTTTTTTTTTTTTTTTTTAAACGCATTCTACCATTTGCATCATACAGCACATCAGCTCCAAGGATAATATTTGGGTGCAGATCGAAGACATATGAATCCCACAGGCCCCATGTAAGACCCATAATCTAGGAGACAACATGTAAATAGCAATCAATAGGTCTGTTGATAAAAATCCTGTAGACTTATATGCATAAAGTAGTAAAGTTCAGCCATTCTGTATCCCGTCTGGCAGTTATAATACTAAACAGCATAATAACAATAAAACTCCAGAAGAACAAGAAATTTCAATAATAATACTCCTTAGAAGAGAAGTACCGAAGAAAAAAGACATAGATACTAATTTCACGCTCCTGGCCTCTCCCTCTTTGCATTATACATTTCATGCATTTTATCTTTTTTTGGATGACGAGGGAAACCCGTAGCCACTACCCAAGGGTATACACTAGGTAAACCCCGAATTGTGTCCCTAGCTGGCAAAGGACCACAATGAGGTAAACCAGCCTAGGATGCCCATAACTGACTGGCAAAAACCAAGAAGTCCAATAGGTCACCCCCATTAGGAGTCGAAATTGTAACCTTGTATCAAGTCAACAACCTGACCAACTTGGTTGGGATTGTCCTACAATGAATGTCAAGTTTTTGGGGAAACACGGGTATTTTCCAATTATGTAACAAAGATTCAATTTGCATAATATGATGCTTCATATTCAAATTATCATATCTTAGTTAAAACTAAGTGAAAATTTAGCCATGGCACATAAGCTGGGACATAGAGAGTACCCCTGCAGCATATACTGAGAAATTTTAACTTCTTTATTTTATTTTTGAAATTTAATATACAGATTTATGACTATATAATATATTTCATGCATCATACGGTATTCATAACAAACAAAGCAACATGGTTTACCTTACACTTGAGATTATTTAAGTCACACTGTCTTCTCATATGAGCCAGGACCTGCAGATCCATGAACAAAGAACTATAAGAAACAGAAAACGTACCAGCTAGCTATACATGGAAACGCAAGCCAGGTATAAACTAGTGCCAAGTGATTTCCAAAGAAAATAAGAAGAATATAAGGTACTGAATTTCTTCAACAAATGTGATTTTCTTGCGATATATATTTTTGCAGTTTCATGCCGACTTCATTATTATTTAACTTTAAAAGATGGATATCAAGCAGGAAGGCGACAATCGTGGGCAGGTAGGAAATAATACTAAGAGCAAGAGCATTGTGCAAACAAGTTTGAAACTGGGGGGCAATGCAACCTCATTTGCTAGAAAAGTTCGTCTGTGCCATAGACAAGATCATGGTTTTCAGATGACAGACTTCCTCTGCATTTTTCTTCTGCAATTCACTCCGCAACAATGAAGATGATGACAGCAACTTGTTTTTATTGGCTTGTTGACAAAGGTAATGTTGTAATAAAATAAAATAAAATAAATTCCCAGGAAACTTAGAACCCCGCCTCATAGTGGTTCCACCAAAACAAGAAAGTGATTTCCCAAGAATTGCTACTTTGTAGGGCAATGCCATGCTTGTCAATCACTTTCTACCCAATCAAATTCACTGGAAAATGATATACTTTCCATTTTACCAAACACCCTCTTAGAGTTTGAAACAATCTCGGTGCTGAACCTATTACAATCCTTAACTAGAATTTCAACCTATGTTCCATGAAAGGTTTAACAATCTTGTACTGCAACTCAACTTTTCATATAGTAAACATACCTTGCACATACAAATTACAAACACATTCCCATTTTTGAAGAAACCAGTCACTGGTAAAAATAAAACAATAATCATCATTAATTATCTTAAACCCACACCTCAGGTCTGTTTGAATCATCTGTCAGCGTGACATCTGCCCCAACTTTTGCAGCAACTAATCCAGGCAATGAAGTTCCTGCACCAAGCTGTAGAATCAATAATCAGGTTATTAGCTACTCCCAGTAGAGCGGCCTATTAACTTTCTTAATTTGAATCTGTCAATTATGAGCAAACTAGATTGTTTTACCTCTTTAGTCATTTGCTAACTAAAATCACCTCATATAATAGTTGAGGTTTTTCTTGTCACTCAAAAAAAAATACGCACATTTTGAAAATGAACCTATTAAAGCTTTCTTCTAGAAGAAGAAGAAGAAACTATGCGTGAATTATACCTCCACAACGGCGGCGCCGGAAAAGCGTGACCTTTGTTGCCAAACGTACTCCGCTAGAATAACACTGCACGGCCACACGAACAGCCCGTACTCTTCTTTCATGTTCTGATGAGTAAACAACCAGAGGGATAGGCTATACTTAGATTCTGGAAAATTTTCCGGCGTTTTGTACAATAGAGGGGAACTAAAGACAGATACCAGATACTAGCCTCAATAATGGTGATGGAGAATCCATCCTCTGTATCCTCAGAGTTTCCGAAATGGTGGCAGGAGAAAGTAGTCATTTCTTGTTGCGCCGGCGACGTCCCGGCAGATTCGTCGTCGTTCTCTCGTTTCGCCTCCATTCCGCCGGGCAGTTCCCGGTCCGGCATTCGCCTTTTTTTTCCTACATGGACAAGTTTAGAGGGTTGTAAAACGGACCGGTCCAACAGAAACCTTAATGGGCCAGCATTTCTTTCGGCCCATATGGTCCATTGACTCGGGTCAAAATACACAATTTATATACTAAATGTTCACAATTTAAATTATGATCGTTTAGTATATAAAATTATGAAAATTCAGTATATAAATTGTGTGTTTTTTAACTTGGGTCCACCTTGTAAGGTGAACTGAGTCAACAGAATAATTTGCGGTCCATTATCGTTCATTCATGCTCTATTCACAAGAAGGTGAAATTCTTCAATCTCAAGCAAATGTGTCAAACAGACATGTTAACTCGAAATTCAATCTAGACTCGAATCGTTTAAACTGTCCTGTCCGTTTCATTTGCTATAATAGGTGGACTATGACTAGCTCGTTTTATATTATGAACATGATTGAACTTTGATTTTTGACCTATTGTCCGGTCCGTTCGGACACGTACATTCTTTAAAAAATATACTATATTTAGAGTGACATTTGTGTAAAATTGTCTCATGATATATGTTTTTGGACACAATTTACCACTTAAAAAAATTGCCGGCGTGCAGTTCATCCTTACCCAGTTACCCGTCTGACGGTCATTGCGTCTTCTGGATCACACCAGTCCAGACACCAGAAAATCAAGAAATAGAGAGAGAAAGTTGCCGGCGGAGGGCTCTTCCATGGCATTTGCTCACTACTTAGTTGCAGTTTCTCCGTCAGTTAAAACCTCAAAACTCCATTCTCGAACCTCAATTCTAACCCCATCCTTCTCTTCTTCTCTGTCCAATTCCTTGCTTAAGTTAAAGTCTCGCAATCTTACATTCCTTCCCAAACTCTATCGAATTGGGCAAACAGGTATCGCTAATTTCATTGCTTTAATTTCTCCAATTTTCTCATAGTTTCTGAAAACCCCGTTAACTGTTCATAATTTCTGGTACATGTCTATTGTCTAGTATGCAGTAGATGTTGTGTATTATTTTAATTTGCATGTATAAAGAATTGGCTGATCAAGAATCAAGCTTTAACCTTTAAGCCAGTAATTCTGTGAACTTTAATTTTAGTCTAATGGTGTGAATTGGTCAAATTGTTGACTGTTTTTGCCCTTTGAATTGTTAATTTACTGAAACTTTTTGTTCCAGAAGCTCCACTTAACAAAAAAATTAAGGAAATGTATCTTTAATGTCTAAATGTGCAACTTTGAATTGTTAATTTACTGAAACTTTGAATTGTTTTCATCTATGGTGTTATTGTGGATAACTTATTTAATGTCTAAATGTGCAACTGTTTCCAGTAAAAGCTAAGGCCCAAGTATCAGAGGCCACTTCAGCTGCAGATGCCTTTACTAATTTCAAGCATCTACTCTTACCAATCACCGATCGAAACCCTTATCTCTCTGAGGGTACAAGACAGGTTTACTGCTCTATGCACTTGGGCCTTGAATATTACCTTTTTTGTTTCGCTTAGTAGCTTTTCTTCGTTCTAAGTTTCACAGGTGAACACAAACTGGCTCCATTTATTTCAGGTTTAGTGGTTTAGGTATTGTTGTTAGTGTATATATTCTTTCGGGTTGACTTATCCTTGTCCGTGTATTTATTCTATGTTTTTTAATTTTTGGTTTTTTGACAGGCTGCGGCTACTACTGCTGCTTTGGCGAAGAAGTATGGAGCGGACATAACAGTTGTAGGCATGTCCCTTCATAGTTTTCTCTAAACTACAGACACTTTACTGGTATACTGTCCTTTAGTGCAAGTTTTGAACCAATGTAGAGCTTATGTTCTTTGCAGTTATTGATGAAAATGACAAAGCGTCACTGCCACAACATGAAACCCAACTCTCAAGCATTCGTTGGCACTTATCTGAAGGTGTGTGTTTAGTTGTTTACTGCTTTCTGGTCTTTTTATGGGACATAAAGGTTGTTTGAATTTCACTCTAGGTTGGTGCTCGGGTATGAAAGAAGCATTGCAAACACTTTTATGTGCTCATATTGCTTAAACAGCTACTTGACATGTCTATTCTGCTTGCGTGCAATGTTGCAGAAGGCGCTAGGCGTTAGTCGGGCGCCTCCTAGGCAGTCTAGTAATTTGAGTATATTGTCTCCACTTTTCCCACTCAGGGATGTGAGTTGTTAGACTATTATAATCCCACAAACTGGTCAACTACATATGTTACATGGTTAGTTGAGTACATGGATGAAGGAATATAGAAGAGGAGCAACTGAGCAGGCAAAAAATACCACTCGCCTGAGTTGGGCGCCAACTCAGCCTAGTTGGGCGCCAACTAGGCGGAGTTAGGTGCCCTACTTGGCGCCTAGGGCGCCAAGTCGGCCGGTTAGTCGGCCAGCCAACTAAAAGCCGCCTAGGGCTGAAATCGCCTCGGCCTAGGGGCACCTAGCGCCTAGGCCGATTTTTACAACATTGCTTGCGTGTTAAACTAAAATTGGTAATTGACTTCATTCTTCTTGGCGATGCTGATTTGACTACTATATCATATTGTCAAGGTGTAGCTTGGTGGTAAGTTGTACCTTCTTTCATGCAATAGAGCGAGTTCAAAGCCCACCACTCTCATCTCCCATAATATGTACAGAAAAGAAACATATAGCTCTAGAAATATATTTATTGTAAAGAAAACTCAGGAAAAGGGGCAGTTTTGCATATAGAACGCATTTCATATCAATTCAGCCCTTCTTTAATAAATCAATATCAGTACATTTTGCATGGTCCTAGAGGCTTTACTAACACACTGCTTCAAATGATCGTATAGGTGGCTTCCAGGAGTTTAAGCTGCTGGAGCGATTAGGGGAAGGGAACCAGCCCACAGCTATCATCGGTGAAATTGCTGACGAGATGAACTTGGATTTGGTTGTGCTGAGCATGGATGCCATCCACTCCAAACACGTAGATGCAAACCTGCTCGCGGAATTCATTCCCTGCCCCGTACTGCTTTTGCCGCTATGAGAAAACACCCTTAAAATGCCAAGAAATATGAGTTCTGATTTCATGGTCGAGAATGCAATCTTTACATCAAATGGCATTGACAGTGTCTTGTTTACTCATTCTCTCCCAACTTTTTCAACCATTTTGGGTTCTGTTATCTGTTATGTTTAAAATGCAGTCTGTTTTGTAATGTTCTGACTGTGTAATTGTCTATCTGGTGGTCTGATGTTTATAGAAGTGAAGGCATTGCTAGAAACCAGTTCAGATAGTAGAAACAGCTTCTTTATTGAGTTACAGTAGGACAATATATCCCACTAAAATGCTAAATAGAAGGCACGGACACAGGGTGTCTTATAATAGTGGCACCAAAATGAGTGAACAAAAAACAATTAGGTTGGACTCTTTGGGATTTGGGTGTAAAAGTGTCTAACTTGGTGTTAACTGTCAAGTGTCCAAGGTTTTTTTTTTTTTTTTGAAAAATTAAAGGGCCGTTTACTAACGGGAAATCTCTGGAAACGGGAAAATAGAAAATAATAAACACTTTTATTAGCATAGTTTTTCATTTTGAAAACTGAAAATAATTTTTGAAAATTTTTGGAAAACTATAACACTCTTAAAAACTGTTTTCTAAATGGAAAACAGAATCATCTATCATCTATTTAGTTATATGTCATTATAACCACATTACTATGATTATATTCATTATTATCTTATTTTACTTATTACTGAAAATGTTTGGTATAATGTGATCGCGTCCCTTGGTCTTCACCTCTAAAAATATAAAATGCGGCAACATTTCACCGTTATTTTGGTCGAAAGGACCAAAACTAATAAAAATAACAAAGTTAGACACCGAAAATAAAAAAATTTTAAAATTGTGTACCAAAAGTGATAGAACCTCAAAAATCGTGGGACCAAAAGTAAAATTAATTCTAAATTATAAATTAATTTTAATAAATTATATATAGTATTAATTCATAATTATGTAATGTTTTTTTTTTTTTTGTGAAGTTGGCTCGTGGAAAACAAGAGAGATGAACTACCACACTCTAATAGTACTAGCACCAAAAGCATCCGCCTCAAGCCTCAATAATGTTATCCGGCGGCGAGTCCAAAACAGTAGTCCCCCAAGTAATCGTTTGGTCAATGTTGGCGAGGTGATCCACACGTTTGTTCCCGTCCTTCAAGATGTGTTTGAAATTGATCTTCTCACATAATCGTGAAAGGAATTTACAATCTTTAGTAAGGGTTGAGGTGTTGTCCTTTTCTTCCTCAACCTCTTGCATCACAGTAACCACAGATTCATAATCGAGTTCCAGCATCACTCTAATAACCCCCTTTGCTTTTGCCAGCCGTAGACCCTCCTTTAGGCCCCACAGCTCCGCGGCAAAGCTATTAGTGTACCCAAATTTGGTGGTGAACCCAAAGATCCAGTCTCCACGGTGATCCCTAGCCAGCACTCCTGCACTGGCAAGGCCCGTACCTCTCTTGAAGGCCCCGTCTGTATTGAGTTTAACCTACCCATCCTGCGGGGGAGACCAGAAAGTCCAAGACATTATGCCCTCCGACCCGGTTGTGTGATTTGAGGTTGTAGCAATCGTATCCTTCTGCAGCTCTTCTACCCTTCGCACAATGTTGTCTAAGGAGCACGACTTTTGATCGAAGACACGCCGGTTTCTTGATTTCCACAACTCCCAGCAGGTGTACGCAAATGTAGTTGCCCACTGGTGCCCATGTATGAATTCCTTTGCCTTGCAGTTGTGTTTCAGCCACCCCACCCCCACCCCGTCGCCATGAGCTGAATTTTCTTTTTGTCATCGGTGTCCCCCCAAAGGAAACCCTTACAAATCTTGTCAACTTCATTGCAAATCCCCACCGGGAGCCGGAACACCTGCATGGTCGAGAGGGCCAATTGAACGAGAACCCTTCGCCCAGCAAGACAGAGCACATCCGCCTCTTCCAATTAACTAACTTTCTTTTCATACCCTCCAGAATGTACCCAAAAGTCCTTTTGGAAACTCTTTGTTAGAGAATTGGGACCCCGAGGTATTTCCCTAAATCATTTGAGACCGGGATGCTTGTAATCCTTTACAAACTTCTTTTAATACATGCACACATGTTAGCACTACAAAAAATATTAGATTTAGAGGTGTTGGTGTTCAAACCTGACCGCTTTAAGAAATTACTAAGGCAATCCATAATGATATGGCTCGGAGTGTCCGAGGCTTCGGAAAGTAGCATAAGGTCGTCCGCAAAGAAAAGATGAGAGACTCCCGTACCTCCTCTCGAAATCCCGACCGATTTCCAATTTTTCTTTTGGACTTCAACTTGAATGTCCCAAGACAACTTCTCTATGACCAGAATAAAGAGATACAGCGCCGCAAGGGGGTCCCCCTAACGAAGACCTTGCCCCAGGGTGAAGGGAGCAAGCTCTTCACCGTTCCAAAGTAAAGAAATGGAACTCTCCTTGATCGAGAACATAATGAGCATGATGAGCTGGCGGGGGAACCCAAAGTCCCCAAGGGTGGACTCTAGGAAGTCCCAATCGATGCTATCGTAGGCTTTGTGAAGATCTAATTTTATGGCCATTAGCCCCTTACCCCTTTACCCCATTTCTTATGACGCATCGTGTGAACAATTTCTTGGGTGAGGATAATGGTGTCCATTGTGAATCTCTCCGGCATGAAATTGTTTTGAGATAAGCCAATGAGCTTCTTCATAATGGGCCTCATTCTTTCAGGATCACCTTCGAGATGATTTTGAAAATAACATTAAATAAGATAATTATGTAATGTGATGACACTTTTACCGTTCTAAATGGGTGGTCACATGATCGAACCCGTGGTGGGAACTTTAATTCTTCCGAGAAATGTTTGAGAAAGTTTAAAACACATATCATGTTTAAAAAGAAAAGTTTAACAAGATTTGAGAATAATTTATTTTGAAATATAATTTTCCAGCATTGTAATTATAGAATATAAAAAGGAGAACATTTGGCATTAGGGTATAAAAAATAATAATTGAATGCAAGTCCAGCCTGCAATGAGCTGAAGGGTAATTTTGTAAATGTGGAATAGAAGAACCGGTTTTCTTGTTGTTAGTAGTAGACAGAGAAACAACTACTCCGTAATGTAGAGGAAAAGGACTAAAACAAAACGTAGCAGTAGAGGAGAAGAGAGGAGAGGAGAGGAGAGGAGAGGAGAGGAGAGAGAGTCCTCCTCTTGTGCTGTGACGGTGCGGTTGAAGCGCTCGAGACCGATTGCCTCTTCACCGACCTATTGGATCTTTCTTACTGATCGGCCTAAAATCTTTATCTTGGGAAAGTCTTGATTCTTTTTATTGTTTGGAATTTGTTATTTCGTTTGTTTATGATCTTTAGATTAGAAGATTTTACTCTGATTTTGAAACCCTAATTTGGAAGCTTATTATCAATTTTTGGATTTCCGAGCTTTCAGAGAAAGCAAACCCTAATTTTCACCGATGGCTACCGCTTCCTCTAACCCTACCCCTACTGCTCCAACTGCACTAAACGCCGCCGCCGCCACCGCCGGCGGGGTCAGTAGTCCCAAGTCTCGGCGCTGGACTCAGATAGTTGGCGAATCGGAATTAGTGCCTGTGGTGGTGATCCCTCCTCAATGCCCACCTTCTCCTTCGACTAGTGTTGCTCAAGAGCACATGGATAGCGTCTCTGGTTGGGCAACTGGGAATTCGCCTCTGCCATTGTTGCAGGATGCTGCTACTGAAGCTCAGCCTGAGAGCTTTGAGAATAGTGACAGTGGCAACAATGCTGTAAAGAAGCCAGCTTGGAACAAACCTAATGGTTCTACCGAGGCCGGTCCTGTGATGGGGGCAGTGTCTTGGCCTGCCCTCTCGGAATCCACAAAGGCTTCTCCGAAATCGGCTACTTATGATCCCCTAAAAACCCCATCGGATGGTTCAGTCCCTCCACCTCAGGTTATTTCCAATTGCATGCAATTAAAACAATGCCATATCCTTTTTAGCTTTATTTTCTTTTATATTATATGTTGCTGAAATATGTCATTCAATTCATAGTTGTACTCCTCTTTCATAACTCTATTTTTAAGTCTTCATTGGAACTTTTGTACATAAATAACATACTTGTTTTTATTCTTATTATTGAGCTATTCACTTTTGTATTTTTTGTGTGCATATGTTAGGGCACTGGCATAGCTCCATCATCTTCACCTAAGCCTGTTCATACTAATAATACAACTACTCCAAATTCAACTCCAAATCATGTCCCTGCGCGTCAGAGGTCTAATAAGCGTGCTGGTGGTGGGAACTCAAGCAATACTGCATTAGCTAACGGCAGTGTCTCTCAGCCGCAGCAACTACAAAGTTTGGTGGTGGAAATGGCACCTAATAGTGCTGGAAAACCCGGTGTGGAGCCATACTCGAGAGATAATGTGCATAGGGATGGTGGACAGAGGGGAGGATTTGGGTCCCAATCTATTGGTGGGAATGAGAACCAATACACACGAAGTTCACCCAGAAAGGGTAACGGTAGACCACGTCCTCGGGGGGATGGATCTTATCACCATGCTCATGGTGGTGCGCGTGATCAAGAACGTGGAAATCAGGAATGGAATGCTAATAGAAGTTTTGGCAGCAGAGATGCTCACTTGCAGCCACTGAGGGTGCCTTCTAGACCCTTCCTACGTGTCCCTCCCCCTTCTCCTCCTTTTATTCCCCCACTCATGCCTATGCGTCCTTTGGGCTCTCCTTTAGTTTATCCAGGTGAATTTTATTGTTTTTGAAGTTCTTCTCTTAGATTTGTGTCTATTTACTGATACATAATAAATTTACAGAAGTTCATCCTATGTATTATGTACCGGGGCCACATCCAGATTCACTAGTAATGCCTATGCTTGCTTCTCCGCCACCTGGCCCACCGGTGTTCTATCAATTTCTAGATCCCCTATTGCTTTCTAAGATAGTAAATCAGATAGAGTATTATTTCAGGTAGTTCCTTAACTAGGCATTGTTTCTTTTTTTTTTTTTTTTTTTTTTTTACAGGGTAGTTTTAGCTTATATTTAAAAGATGCTTCTTGAATACAAATGGTAATGTTTAATTTGCCTGTTCCCTGTTCCCATGCAGTAACGACAATTTAATTAAAGACATGTATTTGCGGAAAGAAATGGATGATCAAGGCTGGGTTCCCGTCAGATTAATAGCCACCTTCAAAAAAGTGAGTAGGTCAAATGAAGTGTCTTCCATACGTGAAAATATTTTTG